GTCGATGGACCACTCAAAATGAGCGGTGATGATCCCGGCTCAGCGGTGCGTTGTTCACAAACACTCAGAGAAGCAACCTTGGGAGTTGTGCAATTTTCAGAGAAGCAGAACAGTCAACAGCAGAGGCAACTTGTGCATGGCAGTGACTTTCCAGCGGAGCCGAGCGACCATTGCATTGGGCCCTCTTCCTGAGGCTGTTTACTGTTATCCATTTAGATTAGTACAAATTTGTATAATGTTAATTAATTGATTTGTATATTTAATTAGCTTGTAGGTTAATAAATGTTATTTATCTCTCGGTCCCTCCGGAGCGAGGGCCAATCTGTAATAAGGTGTGGGTAGCCGTGTGTGATGTCTTCCAACCCCACTTCTTTCTCCCATTTACTTACCTGTTTTGTGGTTAGTATTTGGACTGTTTACTTTAGCCATACCTTATGCTATGCATGCTGCATCATTCATCAGTATGGCATGCACCAGGCCGGCGCATCATACTACTGCCAATAAGTATTTTTTTAATCTTAACTTGAATACATGCTACTTGTGATTTTCACATTGTCATTTACATGACTAGCCGATGCCTACTCTATTGACATTATGTATGCGTTTGCGTTGCCAGCTTAACATGAGACTTGATAGGCATTGATGCTAACTGTTTTTGTCTGGTCGGAGTACTAGGTAAGCATTTTATGCTTTAGGCATACCGTATGGCCATGTGGTGTTGCCATTAATAGCATGACTACCATTGAGGCCAGATGCTTATGTGATATAAACTGTTTGATGCTCTGTGGGTGAAGGGTTGGATTGTTTGAGTGGAGCAACTCGTTGAAGTCCGTGCTTTAGCCTACTTGCGAGTAGCAAATTTCAACTGCTTTTTCAACAAACGGATATGCCAATGCTTTCATTCCAATCAGGCAATTTGGTCTTATGCTTGTTTGCTGTGCGCATAACGTAGTAATTCTAGGCTAATAAACCGGAATAAAACACATAAACGTTTTCAAAATCGGATATCACGGTTAGTTAGAGGCCGATCTCAGGTGACGGGTGAGAGGGGGTGCTATAGCTTGACCTTCCCCAATCGATACCAACAGCTCCCGCCGAGGCAGACTTTGGTTGATGACGGACAACGTGGCTTTGGCCACCGAGTCAGGGTTCCTAAATTCCCCCATAAAAATATTTTAGGGTGGCGACTCTGTATTTGCAAAGCGTCCATGTTTTGGGCACTTCTTATATCAAAGAATCATGTTTTTCTCAAAACATTTGCCGGATTTGGACTTCGTGTTGGTCAGATTTAAGAAGCCGTTGACAATTCGAGTCCGAACTGTAGCACGAGGCCTCACACGGGCGCGTCTAAGTATGCCTTAGGTTGCATTTTGTCAATATTTTGGCGAGTATGTTGTCTTGCATTGCATATGTGTTGTCTTTAGCATTGTGCATTGTGCACCATGCCATTAGATCTTTAGCATAGGTTGTCCATGTTTGCATTTCATATTGGCATTGTGTATGCCGTCATGTCTCTTACATATTTGCATTACTTAGGTTACATTGAAGTTATGCATGCTAGAGTTGCATTTGTGATGCCATGCCCATATTATTTGTTGGCATTGTGTTCGGATTAGGAGTTAGGCCAGACAACAGCACAACGAACGAGCGGACGTTTCATACTGGAAGTGATGAACGTGCCTCATTCGAAACCCGGTCGCCGACACTCTTGATCGTAACATGATGGATGACAGTTTAGGCGGCTTTATCTATTCATATGTGCATTCATTCCATATTAAGTTGTGCAATTTCGTTCCATCGGCCATAGTGCCATCGAGATGGCTGATTGGTGGCCGTAGGATTGAGGCGTACACTTCCTTGAGCTTATGCCAATGACCGTCGGAGAAGTGGTCAGTATTACAATTGTGTTGAAAATACCGTTGCTATGCCTCTCCCTTGCTCCTTGTGTAGGAAAAACCAGAAAACAGAGGCAGAAGATCTAAGGTGAAAGAAGCTCGGAAGTCGACACAGGCTTTTAACTAGGACTAGTGAGCCGACACCCTTTTTTGGTTTCCCCACAAAAGGTGGTGCGGGCAGGTGGTCTCCGCCAATAGCGGTACTGGCGGCCTTCCATCGATGATTCGCCAGCTGTGGAAGTTTCAGCCTTCGTCAGAGTTGAGCCTCGGGTGACATGTTTTCTAAGGTCAATTGCACACCAAGGCAAGTCGGGGCGTCGCGATGGATTTCCTGACAATGGGACTCGACATGCAATGCTCCGTGTTTATGCATTTCAAGGCAGAGCTGAGGGGCTCAAGTAATCTCTCTTCTC